TCAGATTTGAATTGAATGACGAGAAAATGAAATTTTGTGAACAAAACTATAATTCTGTTTCAATATTTCATTATTTTTAAAAAACATATTTAAATAAAACACGACTTAATGTAAATACACTTTCGGTCAAATCAAACCAATATAAATCTACAACAATATTAATTAAATAATACATTTTATTTATATATTTTGTGCAAATTCTTGAGTCGAATGGAAATTAGAAATAAACTCTTTTAATGAGAAGAATAAGACCTATTGTTTGTTAAATAAAAGCCATTTAAGTCCTTAATAAGTGGTTACATGAATGAGACGATCAATATGTTTATTCAGACACTTATGAAATATTCTTATTCTTAGACTTCATTCATTAGAAGACAATGATTAAGGTTTAAATATATTTATTGTCCAATTCAATTTGTGTTGAATTCAATTAAAAAGCAGAAAACTATTTTTAATAATTTTTTTAATTGTTGTTATTATTTATGTGCAAATTATATATACAATAATTTATTACATTTACTAAAACAAATTTCATAGAAATTACTCAGACTTTACAATCAAATGATTTTATAAGCTTAATCATAAGCTTTACAATCATTGAAAAACTCATAAATAATGATTTTTAAAAATAAATTTTTTATTAAAACCATAAAATACTAAATTAACAATTATATATGCCTTAAAGTTTGGTATAATATTATATTAAAAGTGATGTTAACATAATTCTATGAAACTCAAGTGTCTAAATATTATTGACTTTTTCCAATACTTATTCTATTAATGAATTTTAATGTTTATTTGAAATCATTATTCATTAAGATATCCAATCTTTGACAGAATCTTTACTTTTATCTCATCTTAAGTTTTTTCTGTGTTTTTTGTACAAATACTTGGATTCATAGAAATGCAAACTAACTGTAATTACTGTTCTGTTTTTAGTCCAAAAGGCTATTTATATCATGAGTACTAAAGATTTAAAGCAATAATCAATTCAATAATTACCGGCAGAATGTTTTAAACAATTTAGTGATATAATTATTATTTAATCAAAATAGTTATAAATATATAACAATAACTAAAAGAAACAATTGATTTATTGTTTTGTGAATATTTAATTGGGAGTCAATGCCTTTGCCATAAGCTATGCCTGAGTTGTGAGGGCCGATATATTTGACATAAGGTAGGGCTGAACAGCATATACTGTACAAAAGCTTATGGTGTGAGTTACCAATGGATTGGCGAATAGGACTCAAACGATAGGGTCTTCTTCTTCTTGGACCGGCTTTCTTGTGAATGTCATTACAATTATGAGTAAATGATAATTTGGTGAGTATTCCGATCGGAGTGTGTTTTGGCTGAGTTGTCACATAAACAACACTCAACTATACTATTACTTAAAAGTGTCTCTTCTTATGATTAGAAGAGTTACAGACCATCACCAGAACCATCGCTTCTTTGGCTTTCCGGAACAAATTATGGAAAACATTGTCTCTCTTCTCAACATTTTATGGTATTATTCGTTGAGTTATGAGTTTTGAGTTATAAATACAATCATAAGAGCGGAACAGAAAAATTGTAAATTTTTATCGAACTTTAAATTACGGCAAACTCTATGCCTATCAAGCATTTAGTCGTTTATTGAGAGGTCATTACATTCAACAATATTTCGCTTAACAATACATTTGTGTCTTTCATAATGCATGTGAAGACCCAAATGAAGGAGTGCTGCCTTTTTCGCCCTCTTTCACCGACACCTTTGCATGTTTTACACTTATGACCGCTTTTATTGCATAACAGGTATTGTTTCATATCTATTGATGAATAACTATTCGCATGTCTTTTTACACAATTAAACAAATTTACACAACAATTGTTAAATGAGACGAAAATTACTCGTTTTTTATGAATAAATACAAAATATTATATTTTTTAATAAAAACTGACACTTATTTATAGTATATATTGTTTAGTAAATGTGAATGAATGACAATTAGGGCATTGAATTAACAAATAAATACTCACCATTCCTAAGAATATGTCATCAAAAAGGAGTAAATAATATATTTTAAATCTTATTTTTATTCACAAATTGTTAAAATTCATTTCAATAGCCTTTGTATTTCAGTTTACGACAAAACTATTATTATTATGACATATATTTTATATCTTAAAGAGTTTTGATATAAAGATTATTATTTAAAATTTATGTTTTCAATGCTTTAATTTTTAACATAACAGTGAAAAAATTAGTATTCATATTAAGATGGTAAATAATTAATAAATTTAAGCTTATTTAAATATCGGACTTAATGTTGTGTCCATTCTTATCAAAGAAAACCAGATTTGGTCTAATGTTATGTTTTGACTTTTATCATGTACTATAAATATACTTATGTTTGAACAAATCAAATATAATTCACGCAATATTTACAATTGAGAGAAAGAGAGAGAGAGAGAGAGAGAGAGAGAGAGAAAATTTACAATTTTTCTGTTCCGCTCTTATGATTGTATTTATAACTCAAAACTCATAACTCAACGAATAATACCATAAAATGTTGAGAAGAGAGAGAGAGAGAGATTATTTTAATTTACATTCTTACAAAACATATGAATAGATAAAGCAAACAAAAATCATCAATGTGAAAAGCTTATTTTAAAAATGCATAATTTCAATCGCAAATAATATGTTAAAATATATTTATTTCATGTGTTTATAAGATGTGAGAGAAATGTTAAGTCAAATGCATTAAACATCTGATGTAAACGTTAAAGAGTTTGCTCTTAAACTTGATTCCAAACGAAGCAAAGAAAACATTAAAAAACAAATACAGACTTCTATTACCAGAGATTATGATCAGAAATATATGTTTCAATTATAGCAGAAAACGGATGTTATTATAGAAACTTATTATTTGTGTTCACTTTTACTTATTATCTGACAAAATGTGCACAAAGTTTATCTATTTTTGAGATAATATTTTAAAGCTTTTCTTAATTTATTGTTTAAAACACAGCCTATTGTTTGACATTCAATTTAATGACAATATTATACAGCACTTCAAAGCATTTCACTTATTATATAATTATAATCACCTATTGATTTGATATACAGCACTGTATCGTCAAATGCCATTTTCATCAGTAATTTTTATAGAAACAAGTTTTAAATAACAAATATTAAAACAATGAAAATATTCTTACACTGGAATATACATCATAATCAAATTATGAGTTATTTACATTTAATATACTTTACATATTTACTGTATTTTATAGTTTAAATAGTAATTTAATGGTTAATTTTAATGCTTTAAATAATAAGTGAATATAAAGTAATACTGCATTTACTTAATTTATAATTAATTAAATCTTAAAAGTCAAGCGTACGTTCAAAACCTGAAACTATTTATTAGTAACTTATAATTGAATAAAATTCTTTGCCATAAAATCCAATAAAAATTGTTAATATTGTATTAAAATCGTAAAAGAATTTGTTATATGTTTATGTAATATTATATGTCATATGCTCAAAATTAATTATAATGTTTTAAATAAGTATTAATATTTGTCAAATTAAATAGAAAAATTTCATTAAAGTAATTTTAAATGTTGAACATATGTCACATACAGCATGTGATAATTAATGCCGATTTGTTAACAAAATACACATTCATTTCTTATAAAGATTATACATTTTTAGATCTTTATGTTAAAAACTATGAAGAATTAATTTACTTATCGTTTTTATCTGCAAATTAAGTGCGAGTTTGAGATAAAAACATTTTTAAATTACAATATAATTAACGTATTATTAAATAAAACAATTATATTTTGCTTAAAATAGATTCTCATTTAAGTGTCATTTCGATCAGAAAAAAGATTTTTATACAATTCATGTCATTTTATTCATTCATTTACTGATATTTAAGCATTAAATTTATAAATTTATTTTAAGATTTTAAAAAATATTTATTATATTTTATAATTTTTATTAAATGTGTAAATACTTTAAATTAAATTTAATAATTAAATTAATGTACAATTAATAACAATCAATTAATGAAAAATTAGTCCAATAAATAAAATGTGCTTGATCATATTTATAGTGGTTTGAAGCCCAAAAGTATTGATAAAAGCATACTTTTTCGTCACTAAAATTTTTAGTACAAATATGCATTTTTATTCATATTTTAAAAATGGGCTTAATTAAACTTTAATTCACTTTTATAATTTTTAAATTTGTTATTAAATACGTAAACATAAAGCACCTAGATACTATTAAATTATCTATTGACATGTTGTATTATGGAGACTTGGTATTTATTTGCTTTAAACATATTTATAATTCTTAAAACCTGATCTCGATAAACTAAAAATACTTATTCTTTACAAAAATATGTTTATGTTTATGCAAAATATTATTAAAATATACTAGATATGTAAATTACTCGTATGAGCATGCACAATTAGTAACACTATTAATAATAAACAGTATTAATATAATTAATAAACCATGTGTAATACAAATCATATAATAATTGCCAATTTTGTCAAGAATTTCAATTAACATTACATTAATGTAACTCTTATTTTATGGACTATACGTGACATCTATTGTCTATATATTTGTTATTTTATTTATTAAATTACATTCACATGTATTGTACAGTATTTTTGAACGACTCATACCTTTCAACAATTGGCGCTCAATATAGAGGACTACAAACATATAACGTAACACAAAAGGGGGGCGAATACAGGGTTTGCAAGTTTGACAGTAAGTGTTGGGCGAGTACTGCAAAAGAGGGGCACATATTGGGTGACAGCGAGTGATATGCCATCCATTGAGACAATACCTCAAACAAAACGCTTATTGTTTTCAATGCTTTCGACAAAACATTTGTAAATCGTTTGGCAATTGATTGAAAAGTGTTGTGATTTAATAAATCAATTGAATTAAACCTAATATCAAGTGTTGTTGTGAACGACAAGCGGTGATCATGTCTTCGGTGGCGAAACCCAAGAGTGAGATGAGTCCGGAAGAGTTGGCCAAACGAGAGGAGGAGGAGTTCAATACGGGTCCGCTGTCTGTATTGACCCAATCGGTGAAAAACAATACTCAGGTTTTGATTAATTGCCGAAACAATCGGAAACTGTTGGGTCGGGTGAAGGCCTTCGACAGACACCTCAATATGATCTTAGAGGGCGTGAAAGAGATGTGGACTGAACTGCCGAAGCAGGGAAAGGGACAGAAGAAGAAGTCCAAACCCGTCAACAAAGACCGCTATATATCAAAGATGTTCCTCAGAGGAGATTCAGTGATTCTGGTCCTCAAGAATCCGTTGGCTGTGACCGAACCCAAGCGCTAACACCCGCTCCCCTATAGGGAGAGATATCGCCACACATTTGGTGATCCGCTTTGCGATCGCTTTCTCTCATTCACTCTTACCTCTCATTTGTTTAGTAATACTTTTCAATAAGTCTTAAATGTATTTTATTTATATATTTATGTGTGTATTGCTTGACATTTGATTGCTTTTTCATAATTTAATAAAGTTTTGCCCAAATTTAACAATATTTATATATATATAACACAATGAATTAAAAGACACCACAAATGCGATCATTTGATACCATGTTTCCCTCCCTTTTTCTCATATTTTCTTGTATTCAATGATTATTTGATATAATTTTTTAATAAATTAAAATATAAATATTACTTAATTATCGACTATTTTTTACAATAAGCTTAAATTACACTAAAATGCAATTGAAATTTGAATACTTTTTAAATATCATTTAACAATTGATAAGTTATAACAAACTTAAAGCTATGAATGATTTGACGTTTGAATAGATCTCTGTTTACAAGAAGAGTGGATTGAGTGGTGAATCCTGGAAATGACTTTTGCTATAATCCCCTTCCTGTATGTCTTCGCAATATTTCTTGCGTTTCCTCTCAATCTTGTGAACAATTTTTACTAACATTTTGTATTTTTTAGAAAATGAAAACATTTTATCAATTGAAATGAATCGATAAAAAGTTTATACAATACATGTTATGCTCTAAGAATGCCTAATAAAAGGCTATTCATTGCATTTAATTTGTTGATTATGTGCACACATATAGTGGACAGTGATTGCGGTCGACTTCATAAGCCTCCATTTGGTGGCCATAACCGGAAAGGACAACGTTTTAAAGAGGATTCAGTGGCCGACTATTTTTGCAACGATTCTTACCGTTTAATCTTTAATGAGCAAAGAGTTTGCAAACACGGCGTTTGGACGGGAAGGCCAGTGGTTTGCGGCCTTCCCGTCATAAATGGTGTCTCACTTTCAAAAGTGATTGTGTTTTCTGATTCCACTTCTCCATCAAAACTCTACGATAATATGACCGATAGTTTTGATGACATTTCTTTCATATGGAAAGCTATTGATAACGAAAATTGCATCACTTCTGAAACGTTAAGCGATCAGAAATGGACTTTTGTTTTAAGTAAACCAGAAATTATTAATTATTTTGTAATCAAATTAAACGATTATAATATATCTGCAAATAATATTACCATTAATATAACACGAGGTATAAAAGCGATGCTAATCATTGGGAATCGACCAAAACTGCACAAAAGTTGTCAACTCTTGAAAGTGAATGATAAAAATGAGTTGGAATTCATATGCAATACATTTTCAAAGTTAAGATCAGAACTCAGAGATATCGACAGAAGCGATGAAATTCACATCACTTTTGGCTCAGACTTGTCCCCATTGTTATCCATATGTGGTTTAGGAATATATCAGTTCCCACACGACTGCGGAAGAATCGGTTTACCATTAGAACTGATTATAGAGACTTTAAAAACAGGTCTAGAATTAGAGGCCAG